ACCTTACAGACACCCATCTAGATAAGTCACTTCTTTTTCTAGTAGGCTAACAGAGGGCGCGCTGATGCACTTGTCCATTCTTCTTTTAAATAAAGAAAGCCTCTATAAACTCCCGCTCTGTTTTTTCTTTCGCTTTTTTCAAAAACGTTGTTGACTCTAAAAGCGGCTTGCAGCCAAAACGCTTACAATGCTCAGACAGATGACCCCCCGAATTGTTGCGTACAGATAGTTTGTATTCTCTCGCCCTGTCATTGAAACAGCGTCCTGTTTGTCCTATATAAACTTTTCCGCAACTAAGCGGTACATCATACATGACGTTAGTGACACAGTCACTATATTGGCTTACATGCTTCTTGGAGCGCAGAACTTTATTTTTTCTAGCCATCATCGGACAAATCGTAGCCAGTTTACAGGGCGCAGAAAAAACAGTGTTAACACTGCATCTGCCGGCAATCTTTTTTATGTTGTGTGAAACTCTGTGCATGTACGGAATAACATGCACTCTTCTTTATTTTTTTTTTTTGTGATACTACCATTCTGTTGGTTCCTTTGTTTGATTTTTGGAAACAGGCTTTCACAGACACTAGAAATCAGCCATGACGGGAACCCTGCATTCCGTAGCCTTTTTATCTGTATATCAAAGCTAGTCGACATTTGGTGATCACAAATTTTTGCGAATGCAGCCTGGAGGCAGGTTATAGCGATTCCCCTCTTAATGAGCTTAGACTGAGCACTGTGAAACGACACTAGGCTTTTCTTTGACCGCGGTTTATACATCCAACAAAAATGGTCTCCTGAAAAATTTATCATAAGATCTAAAAAAGTGGAAGCCGAAGTGAATGCCGAATTGGAGCACAGCTCTTGAGGAGGAGTAGGGAAGGGTACTGAGGTGGGTCACGTCACCTGCGGGTAGTCACGTGACCCCGGGGGGGTCACGGGATCTCGGGGGAGGGGGGTCACGTGACCTCGAGGGGGGGGGGGCGTCACGTGACCTCGGGGGGGGGGCGTCACGTGACCTCGGGGGTCACGTGACCCCCCCCCCCCCCCCGGTTACACCGACGCCGACGCCGACGCCGCTCAGGCTGGAAACGGGCCCCTAAGAGCTGCGCTCTAAAATTAGATGCGATTAAATAAATAGTACGTCATTGCGAAATACGTCCTCAAAGCATGTTTTCGAACCGGCATGACCACAGTCGTAAAAAAGCGGGAATTCTAAGGACGCGTGTGAATAAAATTGTGGACAGCTGCGTGCAGTCGGGCTATCCCGCGAGACAGATGCCGCCTTTAGTCCGATGTCCATCTGAAAGCGAAAAACTACACGGAAAGCACGTAGACAGCTCCTCCTTTGTCAAAAGAAAGCTCGGAGACTGCCTCGCAGAAACATATGATGTGTCGCTCACCTCAAACCTTGGCGAGAAATAAAAAAAAAAGATCTGTTTTGAAGAGGCTGCCTTCTCCGGCTATGGTGCAGCCGCCCAAAAAGGGAAACAATGGCATGCCTACCATACCCCTCCCCCCCCCCCCCCCCCCCCCCCTTCTCCGGGCGGAACAGGGAATAGCCCATTGAAGTTGCAGAAAGCCCGGGAGGCTGTGGCTGCGTTTACATGGATTCGACCAAAGTGCAGTGAGTGCCCTTTAACCGCTGCGTTTACATGGATTCGAATCGAACGGGGGCGACACCTCACGTCGAATGATTAGAGCGCACCCCACGCGACCTGTCTGGGGGGGATTAGTGGAGTCCACCGGCAGCGACGCGGTCTGGATGGTGGCACAAGGCGCAGGGAGAAATTGGATGGTCACCATAGGCTTTCGCCCCTCCATCCTTCTCCCCCGTCCCCCGTCCTTCAGAGACTCGATTCAACCTGCTAGATTTTGCATGAAGGTCTTGACTCGGCTTGAGAATCTCAAACCAGTCCCTGGAAACGAATCGGATCGGAGTCGCTTGGATGCTAACGTAGCAGTTTGGGCGAGTTGGTTGCACATGATTACACACACCACAGCGCACTATAGCAAACAACACTCACACCTTACACACAAAAAATAAAGCAAAATTCAAACAAACCGCGCTGACTGACAACTCTTTTTATATAACTTTGTCTTCTTCAACCTCTAGCACCACCGAATTTCCCAAATCACGCGCACCGATCTCCTAGGTGCCTAAAAATGTTTTCTCTTTTTCTGTCAGGTGTAAAGATGGTGTACGTATACAGTTTTTATAGTTCCTAGCGATATCTTCTGCTTCGATAATTTCTCAAGTTAATTGGTTTCTGTTCCTACCTAAAATTGTACAGGATGGCAGGTGAACGTCGCACCCACAATCCCGGCAGTGTATGCCTAGATGCCCTGAGTTGGCTCTGGAGCTGTTGTTGTTGTGTTCCCGATTTCCACCGAACAGTATGCTGCACCAGAAACCATCAGAACAGGGTCGTTGAGTGTGCCGATGAAGTGGTGTACTCATTTCCCCTTTCGTGCGGGAAAGCGTACATAGGTTAGACCGGACGATGCCTTAATGATAGGCTCCGGGAACACAACAACAACAGCTCCAGAGCCAACTCAGGACATCTAGGCATACACTGCCGGGATTGTGGGTGCGACGTTCACCTGCCATCCTGTACAATTTTAGGTAGGAACAGAAACCAACTAACTCGAGAAATTATCGAAGCAGAACGTATTGCCAGGAGCTATAACAACTGTATAAGTACACCATCTTTACACCTGACAGAAAAAGAGAAAACATTTTTAGGCATCTAGGAGATCGGTGCGCGTGATTTGGGAAATTCGGTGGTGCTAGAGTTGAAGAAGACAAAGTTATATAAAAAGAGTTGTCAGTCAGCGCGGTTTGTTTGAATTTTGCTTTATTTTTTGCGTGTAAGGTGTGAGTGTTGTTTGCTATAGTGCGCTGTGGTGTGTGTAAACGCTTGGATGCGTTTGGCAAGCAAATCGAAGCGTTTACATGGGACGATTTGATACGCTAACTAAATTGGATCCGTTACTGTCGTATCTATGTAATCGTAGCCAAGATGGTCCACTTGGTCCATGGCATGGCAGCCTCTAGATTCGCTGAGGTTTAGACGGATCCCTTTTAAAGGCTCTGTTATACTCCGACGTAACGCGTGCGCGCGCGCGAGCGCGTCACAGCGACGTCACGTCGGCGAAAACCCGACGCTCTATACACCTTTCCAAAAAACGCTCCTAGGCCGCCGCCATGTTGCTGACGCTGATGCGGCTGGTGCGACTCTCGCGCCCTCTATCAGCTAGAAATTTTCTGCCACTCTCTGGGACTGTGAAGACCCGCTCAGCGCGGTTCTCTACCTACGTTTTTGCGGTTTTGCATTCGACGTTTTCCCGCCCTTCTTGAAAGTTTCCACTTCATTTTTTTTATGCGTGCTGCGTACCCTTTTTGTGTTATCTTCCATTGTGAGAAATAAGGCTGGTAAGTGCCTGCCATTCAAGCTTTTCCGCTTGACATTCGCGGGAAACGAAGGAGGTGAAGGACGTCGAACGACCCTTGACGCGATTTTGCGAACATTGTTCTCCCCCCTCCCAGAGATAATCCGCGTAGAATCCTGTCACCTCCAAATATAGTGGTCCGGGTTGGGGTAGGAAACGGGTCAGTCGCGTTTGTTTCTTTGCCTTGGTGCGGTTGTGAAAAGAAGGAAGTTCTCCCCAAAACGTGCCCCAAAACGAAGTCATCTCGGATTCCGTCCGATCGTCAAGATGTGACTGTCGTCGAGTGTGACTGTGTTATTTGAGATCTTTCTCAAATAAATTATTTTCGGATAACACTGCATCGTGTGGTACGTACGATATATTGTTCGAATGTTAACCCGTCTTTAAATGTATGTCCGTGTCCTGCCCATCGGTAAACACGTTATTTGTGAGCGAGAAAAATGCGTGCCTTTCGGCCCTCTTCTGTTGCAATTTATTTTTGTCAGCAAAGCGCTTTGTTGTTTCACATGCGGCAAATCCCGCGGCGCCGTCAAAACTTATCCTAAGAACAAAACAAATAACTAGAACTATAAATTCCAGTCGCATTCGTTTTGTCGCGTGCGTACCCAACAAAAATAGTTTACAGTTTTTTTTTTTTTTTTTTTTTTTTTTTAAATGTGGCACAATGCTTTCTTAAAGGGATACTGAACCAAAGAATTTAGCGCCCATAATAAGTGGCGCACGTTCTTTCCACGAGCCAGCAGCCGCCGGTGTGCGCGAGCACACGCAACGAAAATGATGTCACAGACCTCCATTCGCGCTTAAGAGGACAGTGAAATGCATGGGCTTCGGGCCAAAGGAGAATAAAGACAGGCTTTTCATGTCTACAAGTGAAAGCTACGTGCTTGTTAGACAAATTAATCGCTTACCTTTTACACCAGACACCACTGTGTATATGAAAAACTTGTCTTTATTCTTCTTTGGTCCGAAGCCCATGCATTTCACTGTCCTCTTAACCGCGAATGGAGGTCTGTGACGTCATTTTTGTTGCGTGTGCTCGCGCACATCGGCGGCTGCTGCCTCGTGGAAAGAACGTGCGCCACTTATTATGGACACTAAATTCCTTGGTTCAGTATCCCTTTAATGTCCTCGGGAAAATACATGTACCACGAAACACAAAATATAGCGGGAAAAGACGAGAATTTGGCCGCCAGCACCGTTTGAAACTGCGCCTACGCAGGCTGCGCCTATTGAAATCACAGTCCACTCGGTTAGGGTTAGGAGGGACGCCGGTGAGAGTCTAGCCTCAAACTCAGTGACTGGGCTCGAAAGCGGTTTGTTGCCCCTGGGGTCGAGTGTTTTTTGGAAAGGTGTATACTCCGACGTCGTGGCGTAACCGACGCGACCGGCGGCGTTCGACGCCGTCTGACCGCCTCGACGCCAAAATGGAGCATGCCGTATTCCGCGCCGGCCGCGCCGGCGACGCCGGACCAGGATGCATCACGCGCTGGCTCCCGGCAGCCCTCGCGCGGGCAGCGCGGCGAATACGAGCAATAGCAGACGACGGGAGCACTTCATGTGGCGCCATGTTCGAAGAATCCGACTCGGTCGTGGAGAAGCTCATCGAGGGAGTTCGTCTTCACCCATGTGTTTACGACACGAGGAAGCTCGAATACCGCGACACGGCCAGGAAAGACAATGCTTGGGAGGCCATCCGGGAGCTGTGCGGTCTCCCCACAGGTAAGCTATTTCGTTGCTCCGCACATCGCGTCTGTGCTTATCGCAGTGCTGTGTTCCGCTGCTGCAGCAGACGCGATCATGTTTTGTAATTTGCTTGAAAGGTGAAACTTTATATAAAAACCCTTCACTGACCTTTCGTGGTGAACGTAGCGGTCGTGGTCGGATAAAAAGAGAGAGCGGATACGCAACGGAGTTTCTTATTGGCTAGGGATAATCCGTCGTGGTAGTTGAGGGGTGGGGGAGAGCGAGCAGCGGCTTTGCACGATCCACTTGTGCTTATATAGATTGTAAAAAAAAAAAAAGAAAAAAAGAATGCAATGTGCTTTAAAGAAAAGGTGTAGAGATGAAGAGAAGCATGCGCGTATGAGGCGGCTGGTGAACGGCGAGCGGGCCCGGCTTGGACGTGCGCCAACTGTGCTTTCGCACCTTAGTGGAGCTTTTGACAGATTGCCCAAAACCAGAGAATTTGTTTTTATTTTCAGTTGGAGACTGCCAAAAACTGTGGAAGAGGCTGCGTGACCGCTTCACGCGTGAAACCAGGGCCCTAGAACTCACGAAGCGAAGCGGCAGCGGGTTCGTCGCCAGGCACACCTGGGAATTCATGCAGGCCATGGAATTTTATAAAAACTGTGGCCGTCCTAAAAAGTGAGATTTTGAACCATTGTCGAGCGTGGTATGAGGAATTTAAGCGTTGAAACAGACTCGTGTCGTAGATTGAGTTACACATTTTGGTCACAATCCTGTTCTCGGGAATTATAGATACAGGCCTGACGAGAGTTACGGAACCGTCAGTGAAATCGCAAAAACGTACTAGAATGCCGCTTTATTTCTTTCGATCGAACACTGGGGGCATAGCAGCAGTAGCGAACGTCCGACACCAATGACCTCTTGGATGGAATAGTGGATGGAATTCTTTAATCACGTTGGACGCAGCCGCGTCTGTGTACAACGCGGCTGAGACAGGCAGGCTTTGCATTGAGCGAGCCCCCCGCACTGCTGAGAGTTTTTTTCGAGTGTGTAAAGAAGATAAATAAAAGAAACGGTCCGCCTTCATTGCCTTCTTCATATGTTCGCCGGTATCGCCACACATAACCAAAATAGCGAACAAAACAAAGGTGAAAATACTTCCCATGGCTTCAAGCAAGCTTGGCACGCTGTGCAGAAGAATGCATAGCATTGTGCGTTAATTGATGAACACGTTTAATGCTGGTTAGTATTTATCCCCGATTAATTAGTCAGAAGTCAACCTTCCTGGTAATTTACACATGTGAAACCTCGTATCTCCCAATTGAGGGATATGGTCGGATGTTCTGCAGAAATACTTCACTTGTACTTTAAAATGCGGACAGACCACCGTCATGAAAATGTTTATATGCGTTTGTTTCTTCCCTTCCCTCACACACAAAAACAAACAAATAAAATGGCGTCGATAGGCGCAATATTTTTGTTTATTGTGCTTGCTTTATTTAGGGCGGTACAGCGTAGCTCTAATTTTACAGTGATTCAGAAATAAAACTTATACCAGTGAAAAAGCAGTGAGTGCGCAGGCAAGGTGGTGGATGTTGATCATAATGTAGAAAAACCCGAGAATGTTGTAAAAGCAGGGGAACGGTGTCGAAGAGGAAAGACAGGGGAAGAGAACGTCTTATACCAGTGTCAGACGGCGTTCTAAAGATCCTTTTCACTAAGCTCCTGTATAAAATCGGAAAACCAGCGCACGCCGTAGGGTACGGGCGCACTCAACATCGTGAGCAGATTGGCCGATTTTATAAAGGAGCTTAGTTTAAAAGGACCTTTAGAACGTCGTCTGACACGGGGATTACTAACCTGATAAACATATTAAGACATTTTTTATTCCTTTCGAAATATCAAATATATGTGAAGCATTTTGCTCATGTGATAATGGTTTTGCTTGCTAAGTGGATTATGTTTCTGTTCCTGTAGAACGGCGTGCAACCTGGACACAAGACCACTAGCAATGGACGCCGACGGGGATGTCGCGGCAGAAGACCTTTTTCATTTGATCCAGAGTGGCGCACCGTCGCCTTCTGAGGACAACTGCACTGATTTGGAGCAGATGGAAGTGGGCCAATCACAGCTAAATAATGATGGTGATGAGCCCGCTCTGCGTGCAACGACGGGGGTGTCGTCAGGCGCTCCGAAAAAGCGTAAAAAAGTGGCGAATTTGAGCAGCAGCTGCTCTACCAGCTGGACAAGAAAATGACGGAAAATGAGGCTTTTGGCATGTCCATTGGTATGAGCCTGGACAGGTTGTTTAGGCCTGACGCAGCAAAGTGCAAGGCACAAATAATGGACATCATTGCAGAATATGACAACTAATTATTGACAAATGCTGCAATTACTTCCGTTACTGTATGTTTTTATAACAAAGCAAGAAACTGCTGCTGTGTTTTTTTTTAATTTTTTATGCTTCTACTTGGATTGACGTGACTCAAACTCCAATAAAATAATTTTATGAACAAAGTATTAAAAAAAAAAGATCCGTGCGTAATACTTTTAGCGCCCGACACCTTGTGAGACACAAGTCGAAACACCACTATAAAAAGTAAAAACACGAGTCATTGACTTTTAGTCCTACTAGACTTAATAAAATGTCTGCCTAAGCACAAAAACTTAGGTGGGAAGGCAACTTTTTGCCACAAATGCCTCAGAACAGTGAATAAAGCAACACACAATCCGATGCGAAATAATTCTTTAAAAAAGCAACACAGATAGCACAGAGTGAAAGGCAAGGTAATTTTTTTATATATAATAAGTTCTCACAATCTCGTGATGTCTATCAAAGGTAATACAAATGATCAATTGCTTCTGCAGACTGACCCACGAACAGCACCAAAAGCCGGCAACATCTCACAGACTTGTGTTTCAAATGGCTGGCATCGAAGCAATGGCTAGCTAAAATAATTGATTCTGCGTTACTTAACTTACAAGGAAACATGTTTATTGCCCGGAAAAGGCCCGGCATGTCTTAAAATAAATTCTCGTCGAAACAATAAATAGAAAAAAAAATAATCGCGCCCACTATTTACGTGGCGATGTGTAATTCTTGTTTTGATGGCGGCGATGGTAAAACTATACCGTATTACAATGATGATGATTAAGATGGTGCTCTATTTCCGACTCTGCTCCCTCGTCTCACGTCTTCCCGGAGCGCGGGGAAAAAAGAAACTCTTCGGAGTAATGGCGTATATAGAGTACACTCCTAATCATCATTGTAAGGGAATAGTTTCTGTAGAGATAGAGAAAAAAATGCGTCTTGCGGCATACATATGTGGCAAAGAACATTTTTTTCAACGACTATTTATTTTGAGACATGCCTGTAGTATCCAGGCAGTAAAAATTGTGTTTTATAAATTTATTGTTTTTTAAGGAAAGGAAGAACGTTATATAGAAGTCATGCAGCGCCTTCATTTTAGGCTAGAAGAGAACTGGCTGACATAGAATGTCTTTTACCATTTAACCACTGCAGCAGGAAAAATGCATGCGAAAACAATAAACAAATCAGGTTCAAGAATGAACACTTCCAGCACAAACAAATAAGGCTGACACAAGTAGCCAAGCAAAAAAATGTGGACGCGCACAAGCCGCTCTCAAATTGTTAACAAGACTGGCAGATGCAAAATATAACACAATTTTCCACTTGCCTGCTCTAGACTGCTCTATCTGGGCATATGCCCAGATAGAGCAGTCTAGAGCAGGCAAGTGGAAAATTGTGTTATATTCTGTTTGCGAAGATTGTTGTGCTAACACAGGTTCACGTATTAGCTGCGCCTAACAACTTCCAGCTGCCATGGCAGGGAGCCTTCTTCAGACATGAAATAATCTGAGATCTCATCTCTCATGTCTACGGCTGCTTGAGCAGGGCGCTTGCCGGCCGCTGCAGTGCAAGTGCCAATTTGCGACACTGTCTGTCTCCACTGACCTTCCTGCACCGCCCGCCCCTGTGGCCTGTCGCCATAATCATTTGGACAGTATGCGTTATCAGACATGAGAAAGTTATGCAAACATACTGCTGCCTTTATCATGTCAGTGACAAGCTCGACGTCACCTTCGACAGTTCCAAGGAACACACGCCACCTGGAGACTAAAATGCCAAAAGCGTTTTCGACACATCGGCGCGCCCTGGAAAGACGGTAATTGAAAACCTTTTTGTTGTCATCGAGACTCCTTCCTGGGTACGGGCGCATTAAGTACGTGCTCAAGGGAAAAGCAGCGTCGCCGAGTAAACAGACGGGCCACCTAGACACACCCGAGGGCAGCCCGAGAGTGTTGGCTCCAAAGTGACGTCTGATGGCACTTTCCCTGAAGAAAGAGCCATCTGACATGCGTCTCTGTGCCCCTACATCTACTAGAGTAAACCTGTAGTTGGCGTCTGCGACAGCGAGCAGGAGCAAGGAATAAAACCCTTTATAATTATAACAATCTGACCCACTGTTGTCTGGGCACTTAATAGAAAAGTGCTTCCCGTCAATGCTACCGATGGCATTCGGGAAATTCCACTTCGCACAAAACTCCTGCCGTATTCTTTCCCACTTCAACGTGGTAGGCTTTTCCAGTACCACAGGAGACAGACAGTCCCAGATGGCCGGCAAGGTTTCTCTCAGAATCCCAGAGACTGTCGAGGCGTGCATTCTGTAGCTCATGGCCAAATCCTGCATTGATCCTCCGGTAGCCAGGAATCTAGAAAAAATTATATTGACATATTAACCTCAACCTGACGTGCTTTTGCGATGCAGGATTTTGTGATAGAAGTGTGGTATGTTCTATAAAACTGTGTTGAAAACAGATTTGTTATTGTTATGAAGCCAGTGAAGCTGTAAAATATTTTTCTACCATGCTGTTGAATGTGAAGGTGATACATTAACAGCCGGAGAAGGGCTTGTGGGAGGACTTTTGGTATCCCCTCAGGTTTATTCGCAAGGGAATGAACAGTGATCAGTGTACAGTATTACACAATATATATATAAAGTATTGCAAACATAATAATTTTGTTAGAAAGACGAACAGATCCTATTTACCTCAACGTAACTGCGAGCCTTTCTCCAGGGGAGATTGGCCTCCTGTGGGTTGGTGCGTGGAGGATTCGGTGATACACAAAGCTCAACAGTCGATCAAATGATGCCTTGGTCATCCTGCATGAACACAATGACACAGTGACCCAACATGAACAGGTATTCCTCAGCAGAAGTTTTCAAAATCTACACTTTGAAATAAAGCTTTAGGCATCATACCAGCCTAAGCACGTCATAATGGAGTTTCCTCCTATTGTTATGTTTTATATGGAAGCGACGGGAAGTTCCCAGGATGGCTGTTTGATTGAGCTTGGCAGCTTATACTGCTACTATAAACAACCCTAATATATTTTTACAAGAAACAAACCTGCCCATTCTGCTGAATTTCAAAGTTGCAAGCTCGTGACACTGGTGAAGGCACTCTTGTAAGCCACTTCACTACAACGAAACGGCTCTCGACACTGTCCCTTGAACACAATTGTTGGCTGCTGCCATATAAGGGGGAGCAACCGATATCAGCCCGGATTTGCCAACGGAACGTCTAGCTTATGAAGCTTGGCTTCATCAGCTATATGTTCCGTCTCAGCTTGCCCTCATGAGCTTTGAACGGAACGTCTAGCTTCATCAGCTAGAGCTAGACGTTCCGTCCCACCTTGCCTTCATCAGCTTTACAGAAATAATACTGGAAACAACGCGCAGTATTTTTCGCGTCGGGAAGCTTGCGCTCCCAAACAGTACGCCGCAAGCTCGATCATTTTTTAATACTTTTATGACACCGAAATTGCCGTAAGTTCAATATCCCTTTTGAGCGTGCATTCAGTTACCTGAAATACTTGAAGTGGTATTCGGGGTCCCTCTCTCGCAGCTCCTGGACGAGGCGGTGGTATTCCCCGTAGACCGTGCGCTTGTCAAAGATTTGCCGTATGTACATTGACCGCCTACGCTTGCGGCGCAGGCGGTGCACCAACAGTGCAAGCGCGAGTTTTCGTCGGGCAAGGTACGTCCACGCCATCGCTCGAACTTGGCGCTCAAGAAGCGCGAGAATTCTCGTCTGCTATTCAAAATGAAAAGGAACCGGAAATGGCTGGATGGATGGATGGATGAATACGGCTGAGCCCTTTGGATCGGGCGGTAGCTTACGCCACCTAGCCCTTTTGTTTTACCATTTAAGCTTAGAATATTTAAATGTGAAATCTATATTCACTCCGCAGTGCAAAGAAAGTGAGGCTATGAAACCCCCTTGCCATCAGTGATTAAGAAAATACCTAGTTTTCTCTCGATTTCTGCCACCATTCACTTAATCTTTGCTTGGTAATCTCTACAGTCTTGAAATCCACTCTCCCTTCGCTGTCTCTAAAACCCAATGACTTTATTAAATCTATGTTGTCTTCGGTAGGCATAGGGTGAAGCCCTTTACAGTAGAGTATCAAGTGCTCAGCCGTCTCGTCCTCCTCTCCACAAGCAGTGCACACTGTATCAATTTCCTGGTACTTCACACTGTATGTTCTGGTTCGCAGAACACCCGTTCTTGCCTCAAACAGCAATGAGCTTCCCCTAGAATTGTCATAAATGCTTTCTTTGGCAATAACTCTTTTGTTTAATCTATAGCTTTCCAGAGCAGTCTTTGTCTGCATTCCCTCTAGCCACCGATCTCTTTCTGTGGCCTTAACTTTCTTCTTAACTGAGACTTGCTCTTCCGTATCTTCGCTATAGCCCAAAAACCTTCCTCTTAATTTCCTAGTGCGCTGTCTCCACTTTGTGTCTACACTCCTCATGTATAAATAGCTGAAAACCTTTCGTGCCCATTGCTCCCCATCCATTAGCCTCAACCTATCCTCAAATTCTACCTTGCTCACCGCTTCCCTGCTCTCAAATGATGCCCATCCCATGTCTCCTTGTACTCCCTGGTTTGGCGTTTTGCAATGCGCCCCCAAAGCCAGTCTACCTACTCCGCGCTGTTTTATTTCTAGTTTCGCATGCACTTCGGATTTCATGCATAGCACTGCGTTTCCAAAAGTCAAGCCAGGCACCATGACCCCTTACCAAATCTCTCTCACCACCTCATACCTGTTGTAATTCCAAAGTGCTCTATTTTTCATTACAGCTGCATTTCTGTTGCCCTTACCTATTATATACTTTTCATGGTCTCTGAGATATTCTGCACCATCACATATCCATACTCCTAGATACTTGTATTTACTAGCTCTCTCAACTGTAATATTCTGTATCTTCAGCCTCTCAACTTCCTCCTCGTTAAAAATCATGACTGCCGATTTTTCGCTACTGAATTCTAAACCTAATTCCTCT